TTCTTAATAGATTGTGTAAATTAGAATTTAATAGAAATAAAAAGACAGCTCATAATAATGAAATGAAACTACACAAATTAGGTGATGAATTAAGCCAATGACGTCTCTTGTTCGACATCTATTGTTGAATTGCCGCCAATCACATCAGTTTCGCCAACCATCTGCAAATATAAATGGGGCTATTTTTCAAACCTTTGGTGACATCGTCATAGACGTCCTCTTGGTACTAAGGTAGGTACATGCTGAACATATTAAAATAAATGATTTCCGTTCAAAAATAAGGTTGTATGGTAGGGAAATAATCAAGATATGATACACACAGGTATCCAACATTGCGTATTTAGTTTTCATCTTGGGATCCTCATTTATGTCTAAAATCATTGCATAAAAAAAAGAAAAGAAAGAATTCTACATAATTTGCCATTTTGCTTTCATGATTCAAAGAATTAGAACGGCGATGGTTTGTTTGTTTTGTTTTGTTAGTTTTATTCTTTTGTTTTGTTGTATGAGTGTTTTAATCTAAGGAGAAACATCTAAATGGATTGTGCTTTTTTGCAATTTGATAGAAGATGGTATTGAGTATAAGGTGAAAGATACGAGAAAATAAATTTCTAAAGCTGAATGAAAATACGGTGTCCCCTTAGGTTCATTATTTCACTTCCGAAAAAAATCCTTTGCCAGGTAATATAAAAATGATACCACAATAAGGAATAAATGGAAGAAAAAACGAAGAAAAAAGAAGTCTAAATAACACCTTGTGATAGCATGAAAATTAATTTGAACGGAATATAATTGATAAGTCCGACGCATTAAGTCTGGACTGTGTCGACCTCTCGAAAGGTTTTGTCTCGTATTCTCAGGGTCGGATTTAGGGGAGAGGAAAAGGAGAAATTTCCCCCCATCTTTTTCTCACTTATAGTCCTATGCTCTAGAATTTCTTATTGTAATGTTCAAAGAATTTTCCTCTTTCTAATTTCTTCAAAGGCGATAATGAAAAAATTAAAAATAAAACCCTTCATAATTTTTTTATTGCGTTTTGTTTTTAAACACACAAGTCACAAAATTGGGAATCTCGATCCTGAAAAGTTCACGCTCGGAAAAATATTGTTAGTGTTTTTAAAAATATTTGGATCAGTAAATTCCAACCCACTGGAAATTAATTTCTGCATCCGCGCCTGCTTTTGAGATATCCAAGTAAAAATCTATAGTGTCTATAATTGCTTAACTAAAACAAGCGTGAGGAAAAACATTGCACCACGTTATTAGCAATAGGCCTTTTGCAGCTGGGGGTCACGTGAACACACTTACCTTAAACCAATCAGCTATCAAAAAATGATACAATGGAAAGAGCAGGTTTATATTGGTATAATGACAAAGTCTCAAGTTTGAACTCTAAATACTTCAAAAATGACATCAAATGTAAAATATTGATTTTTCTAAAGAAACGTATGGAAAATAGAACTGGAGAGAAATCCTTGATCTCCAGTTCTGTTTTTGCATATGTTTGTTTAGAAAAATCAATATTTTACATTTACTCTCATTTTTGAAGTATTTAGTGTTTAGACTTCATTTGCCTTCATTGCTTAGTTTCATCCCCTCTTTCCATTTCTGAACTTCATTTTGTTCATTGCTGATTGATTTAAGGTAGGTGTGGTCACGTGACCCCCAGCTGCAAAGGGCCTATTGGCCTCAAATTAATGTTCATTTATCCTTTTTCTAATTTAAAAGATAAGAATAAAAAAAATACCGCCGACCG